ATTTATTTTAGAAATGTTTATATTAAAAGTAAAAAGAGAAAAACTATGAACTAGTTTCATTATATGAAACATTTTTACTTTTATTCTTTGACTATTTTATCCTTTCGAGTTTCTAATTCATACAACTTTAATCTGTATAGTTGTAGTAACATTAAACCACAAGATGCATTTTGAAGTTTTCTGGCAGCATTTTCATTCGATTTTCGCGAAGAAAAGCCTTGAATTTGCTAAATGTGCGCTCGACGTAAGTTGATACAAGTGGAGCCCAATTTAAATATGGAACGTTTGAAACGTTCATATTATCAGGAATAAGGGCATTTTCCTCGCCCTTTACAATTTTATCCACACCCCTTATTGTCTCCAAGCCTACGTTTGCTGAGAAAACGGCTTTGAATTTTTTCAACACCAATTTGGCAAGAGGTCCCTGCGCTTCTATAAGCCGCATGGGCATGCGTATATTTTTTAATCTAAAAAAAAAATTGTAAATGCTATAATCACTTTTTTAAAGGTAGAAAAGGCAAAAAACGGCAAAAATCTTAAAAAAGGCAAATATCTTAAAAAAGGCAAAAAAAGGCAACATCAAATGTGTATATATGGAATCAGGGAAAGCTAAATCGTGGACATTCTTAAGCGAATATACTCTATCTCTTTAGCAGAAAAAAAGGCAATTTCCATAAAATCCGTTCCCGGGTTATTAGGCTCTTATTTATTCAAATTTTCAGGTAATGAAAAAAAGATTCAATTTAGATGTTACTTGTTGTCGTAGCTGTTTTTTTAATTCATGGCTTACTATCATAAAATCACATAACGCTGTTTGCAAGTGGACTACTCAAGTCAGTTATCAGATTATTACGAAACTAATGAAGTATAAAACTTTATTATATAATTTACACAGAAAATTGTCATTTTACAAAAGTGGCGGGTGGGACAACGATGACACTCGCCTCTCTGAGTTGATGGATTCGTTTCCCAATTTTAGACAAACTATAAATATTTCATTCAAAGCGCCTTTCTCGTATGTAGCTAATATAATGTTAAGGCCTATTTTATGCTTTAATGGCATTTATCATATTTGAAAATTTAAAAAAAAAAACTCCTTTTATTTGTGGTGGGTGGGACAGTATTTTTGACGGGTGGGACGAGTCACTATTGAGGATGCAAAGTTCGTGAGTAAAATGAGCTCTACTTGATTCATATGAATATTTATTATACTTTTAATAAAATGACATATAATGAACTTATTTTCAAAGTTAGGTTAAAAAAAAAAATGGCAGTGACGGGTGGGACATCCAATAAGCATTTCTTTGAAAGCTGATAACTTCCCACCATATCACATTAGGTCAAATGATCACTTTTTGTGTGCGAAATTAATAGCAGCTAAAATATTGCATTATTTTAATGTAAAAAGATGACAAATTAACAAATAAAAAATTAATTAAAATGGCTCGGCATTCGTAAAAAAGACTTTTCTGCTTTTTTGAATGTTCAAATGATGAGTATATGTGTTTAGGTAGTACTCAAAAACATTGTCCAATTAGCTTAGTTTTGACACAAGTAATTTTATAATATAAATAACCATGCCCACATCCATATAACGGTAATTTAGAGAAATATGAAATCTTTGATAAATCAGTAAATATTAAAGCTAATTTATTCAAAATTGAAGTTTGCAATATATGCATATGTCCTTATATATGAATCTCGGTAACCGTTGGATCAATTTGTACCAAACTCAGTGTGATTTTTGTGCATGCCACATAAAAGCAATAGGTTGAAAACTATTGAAACTAAAATTACGGCCGCTTTTCGTATAACGGTAAATTTCAGAAATGCTTGAAACATCAATAATTTACTCAAAATTGATACACCCCGGCTTACCATGCAGCGGTAGCTTTCAGAAAGGTGTGAAAAAATATATTTAATACTTGCGCCGGGTATTTAATGTTCGGCTCCGCCCGAACTTAGACTTTCTTACTTGTTTTGCACAATTGTCATCTTTCTTTGATAAATAATTGCAAAAAATACGCTTTTTTTCTTCTAAGGGTTTCATAAAACTTTCGCAAATATCTGCAGCACCACATTTTTTTCTCAACATGGCTGACAACTGAAAAAGGCTTTTCTTTTTTCGAACATCCAATCAGCCAAACTTCAAACAACTCACCTTCTGTGATAGCATGATCGCCCAGAAAAAACCGATTTTCCGCTAAAAACGGCGGCTTAATTAAAATAAAATCAACTCATTAGTTTCGTTCCTCAATTTTCCTGGATAAGACCTGTAAAACTGTCAAAAAGCTAAATTGCTCTCAGAAAAACAGACAAAAACCAAGAAGTACGGGAACGCTTTTCGAGTAAAAACTGGTAAAACTGTCAAATACACCGTGGGCGCCATTTTTTGTTTACATAGCAGTTTTTTTATCATCTGCCGATCTGCTAAATTATATGCAAACACACAAGCAAATTAACAAAAATACTTACAAAACTTGATATTTCTTCGCTGTGATATATTTAAGAATTTGAAAATGCCGATATCCTTCGTTTTTGCTTATTCAACTTTCAAATCGCTTGAACAGCTGATGGTTTGACAAATTACCAGATTTTCCAGCAAAAATTCTTCGGGTAAAATCTTGCAACTTCTGAAAAAGAGAGGATCGATTTTACTCTCCGATTTTTCCCCTACTTTACCAGAGAACCGAGTACGGGAACGCGTTCTGGTAAATTCCTGTAAATTCTGGCAACTTCTTACGAGTTAGGGAATGCAACTATTATATCTTAATTTATCCATTTCCGTTTCCATTTTGTTTGCCGAAAGTTAACAAAATTGTAAAAGCTTACATAAAATCATAAAAGGAAATAAATCAGAAAATGTTTGAAGTTATGCAAATAAATCAGGTTTTTTTGCAAACAAATGATAAAAAGTCACTTTTTTAAATTGGGGCATAGATTCTCACTTATAGTTTTGTTTTCCATTTAAAATTTTCCCTTAATTGTTCGAACTTTACAAAAAAAAAAATGCACTTGAATAAACCGGTTATGCAAATATCGTATCAATAACGTTTTGAAAGTGTAGCTTTGGTTTATTGCTGTCGAAAGGTGTTTTTTATTTCTGTTATTTTGGAGTATTCCCTACAGAATGGCAACAAAAAATAATGTAAAACTACCTTTACGAAATTAGACTTTCGCACAGCCAAATGAATCATAATGTGCATATGTAAATCTATTTTTGTAATAACTCAGCACTATTTTAAAGTCCATGAGGTGCACTTTCTCTTTGGATAATTATCATTTGCAATGTCAACTTAAATACACGAGCCTTGCCTTGACTTCATGAGAAAATACTATATGAGAGATAGGTTGCGTTTATAACAAGTAAGAAAGCCTTAGTTCGGACGGAGCCGAACATTAAATACCCGGTGCAAGTATTAAATATATGTTTTCCACCTTCTGAAAACTACCGCTACACGGTAAGCCGGGGTGGTTTTACCCCTATTTTAAACATCTTAGATAGAACGTTCAGTTAGACATAATGAGATAAACTTATATAGTCATATGTGGGCGATATCGCGCCCATTTTCCAAAATTCCAAACAATGCTACTTCTTTTCAAGGGATTCTTTTTAGTATACATTTTGAGTAAATTAGCGTCCTTAAAGTTCGAAATATTGAAGCATCAAGCATTTCTGAAATTTACCGTTATTTGAAAAGCGACCGTAATTTGAGTCCGATTTCAATAATCAGAAATGTATTTCTTGGTAAAGAATTGTTGCAAGTATCAATTTTGAATAAATTAGCTTTAATAGTTACTGATTTATCTTATGTTTCGTATTTCTCGAAATTACCGTTATACCATTACCATCCGAAGTGCACATACCAAGTTTCGTTAAGATATCTCAATGTTTACTCGAGTTATCGTGTGCACAGACGGACAGACAGTCACCGCTTAATCGATTTCTCTTGAATAACGATATAATACCCTTGTGCACAAGTGCGCTCGGATATAAAAATAAAGAAAATAGTGGTATCGTCTTCGCTAAAATGTCCCTAAGGTAAATTTATTAAGCTAGTTATGAAATATATTTTAATAATAAATACTTTTCAGGAGAAAACAAAGCCCTCCAAAACCATTACCGGTGGAAGATAGTTCCGGAGAAAGCTCATTGTTTTTTGACATACCTACATATGTAACAGTGAAATACGTATGTGTTTCCTTTACATTTGTAATATTAATAATACTTGGATGTTTTATTACGTACATACTAGGGCGGGTACATTTTTTTTTATTATGTGCGCATAGCATAGGAGGATTCTACTTGCAATTCTAAGCAAATTTGTTGAAGAAATCATGGGTCTGAAATCGATTTAGAGTTTGCCAAATTGCGAGAACAGGTTTCGAAAGAAAATGTCAAAATTTTCTTTGTTGGGACCTCCGATGGAAGTTTTAAGAAAAAGATAAGTGCAGAAATGAACTCTTCATTCCACAAAAGCCGTATACCATAGTTTTATACAAAATTAAAGCACTACTTTACGACACTACAGCAAAATGCTAAGAAACCTGTTTTCGCAATTTGGCAAACTCTAAGTTGATTTTAGACCCATAGTTTCTTCGGCAAATTTTCTTAGAATTACACATAGAATCCTTCTGTTCTATACGCGCATAGTCGGAAAAATCTCTCATACAAATTGAGCCGCGCTAATGCATACATAAATATGTATATGTAAATCTACCACATTGTTTTGGAATCTACCACAATTTTAAAGGCTTATCTACCACCTAAAAAAATTTTACAGTCCGCACACTGTTCACTAGCCACAGTGTGGTCAGCCATCATTGGCGTGCGTTCTTTCAGTTTGGTCAGTAGGGTTGCCTATATTTAAGGACTAACGTCAGTGTTGGTGTCTACTAGGACCCAATCCCACATACATACATATATACATATTTACGTTTGATAAGTAATCAAAAGTAGTTAGAACTCTTTATAAAGGCTTCTTCATGTTTTCTTTTAGATATTTTGGAAGCATTTCGAACGGAGGAGCAAAAGTTTGGGCAAACGTTCTTTTCGTGGCTTGGGCCTTATCCATTTCTAGTTGTTGCTGATCCTCAAATAGCGCAAGAAATTTTAACTTCTCCTCACTGTGTTAATAAAAGTTTTATATATAACGCATTGGATGACGGTACTGGTAAAGGACTTTTTAGCTTATCAAGTGAGTATCCATCTATTTTTGTTTATGCGTAGTATAGCTTCGAGTTTTTAAGATCCTAAGTGGACAACACACAGGCGTCTTTTAAATCCCGCATTTGGTCACAAAGTTCTCTTAAATTTTATTCCGACCTTTAATGAAGAGGCAAAGAAATTGTTGAAAAATTTGGAAGTGCATTTAATGGATGAAATTGATTTAACGAGTGTACTTCAAAACTTTACACTAAAGGTTGCAACACGTGAGTTGATACTTGTATATTGTTAGATATGTAAGTAATTTGGATAACTATATCGATTTATAGAGACGACAATGGGTGACACCATCTTCTGCGATGGCTCAAAAGACTTTCATGAAGGGGTATTAAGCTGTTATAAATGGTAAACTTGCCTTTTTTCTTTTGGTAATAAAAATTAATTAAGTTTAGCCGTAGTGTGCAGGAATCAATGACACAGATGTGTTTTTCGCCGTGGTTAAACTTCAAAGCATTTAGATGGTTGTGGAAGAACTACTCGGCATATGCGGAGGCTAAATTGGAAATTCGGAATTGCATACGTAAAGTAAGTTTTGAAACGATGAAAGTGAAACTGAAAGTGCTTCTGTTCCTGGTGTTCGTGAAATGAAATCAAGGATTTACTGTCGGGCTCGGCTTTCTGCAGATTGGTCGTCCAATTATAGTTGCTTCATCGTCACAATCATGATGCAACGATTATATGACGACTACACTTTCGCACACTCGGTCGTAGTATTTCAATTCATTTGGCGTCTAAAAATTCGCTGTCTTTCTGTCTTTTTGGTTGATATTTTGGCGAAATTTTTACAAAAATATACAGTTTTAAAATTATGAACTGTGCTGCAACAGTTCTGGACACAATCTTTCATTAATCTCTTCTTTTCTTTTCCTTAAATGTGTTTAGTGCACGCACGCAGAGATTTTTTACAATTTCGTCATATTTGATAGATTAAACTCTCATATTTATTGAATGTTATTGCAATTGTCCAATTTTTAATAATTTCTACAAACTTTTTTGAAAGAAATACTAATTTTTATGTAATTTTAATGCAAATATTAACTTTTTCACTAATTTTTCCCCAAAAATGTAAACAAACAATGCGTGCATACCGATTAGCAAACGACAGTGTCTTACTTATCCGTTTCTGCATCTTCTACGAGTTGCCGGTAACTAGCCCATAACGACCAGTGTGCAAACCTCCATTGAAATGCATGCGTTCGGCTCAAAATTTCAGAGCGAGACGATAACTCAACCATGATTGGACGACAAATGTGCAGATAGCCTTCAACTGCTCCAATAGCTATCTTTGATTACTAAAAGATTATACGGTGTTAGACTGATCATGAACTTTATAAGCGACCTAGTAAAGATCGTAGGGCTGGTCGAGTAGTTCACGAAACTGCGCTTAAAATCTTTGTAACACCCTCAAATTCTCGACTTATCATTTTTACGTAACTTCCTGCACTAAACAATTTTTAGCTTATCATTTTAAGTTTTTATATGGATGTAATGTGGAACGATTTTCCGCCATCCCTTGTCAAATTTGGTTTGGAGACAAACCGAACGAAAAATGACACTGAAGATGGCACAACGCCGAAACCGGTTTGTCTCCAAACCAAATTTGACAAGGGATGACGGAAAATCGTTCCACATTAAGATAAGATAGTACTGTGCGGTCGCCTGTAATTTCGCTCTTGAGAGTATTTTTATTTTATATCTCTAAAAAGTGCTGAAAAGTTAATAGACTAATAAATTATTGTGGTTGAATAGAGGAAGTGATCGCAGAAAGTAAACTAGCAAAATATTTGCCAATAATAATTAGTTTTATTTGTTTTAAACAACGTAAAGTAAAACAGAGGCAAGCAAGCATAAACAGCAGAAACAAAAAGATTATTATTGTTGCTGTTCCAGTTATTGTGTTTACTTCCACATCGCATTCATCAGCTGCTCCATTATCAGCTGCTCCTTATCATCTACTCTCGGGTCAGGTGATATTAAAACTTTGGCTGGAGCGACATCTATCGGTGTTATCCATACAATAGCTGTGAGCGGCATCTGTTGGTGAGTCTTGAAGCCTTTAGAGAGTTACTGATCTGCGAACATGAACAAGAGGACTAAGAACATACGCATTGCCCACCAATCGCCCCCAACGACACCAGCCCTACTGAATAATGCGAAAACCAGTGACAGTTCAACTTTTTCATGGATATTACGAATTGAAGCAAAGATAGATAGTGTGGTCAGTCAGCTGACAACACGTATCAAGGAGTTTGAAGATAGAATGATGCAGAGGTTTGGTGAGATGGCTGCTGATGTGCAAACTGTCAAGATGAAAGTGATACAGCTGGAAGATCGCGTAGCGAAAACAGAGCGTGAGTGTATACAGGTAGCAGAGCTCAGGAAAGAGTTGCATCTATTAAGTTCAAGAGTTGGAGAATATGATAATATCTCCGTTGCTAATGACTTAATCATTAATAGTATACCGCAAACTCATGACGAAAAGCTGAGCGATGTATTCAATGATATTTGCAAAGCTGTTCGAACAAATGCGCCCCCCATTCGTGCTGTATTCCGTGTGCACAATAGCAACAAGCAGAGCAACAACAACAAGCAGAGCTCACCTATCGTCATCAAGCTGGTCTCTGCGGGCGATCGTTCACCACTATTTATGGCCTGGCGAAATTCTATAAGCAGAACAAAAGGAGAATCATGCTGCGTGACATCGGTCGTCATACAGATGAGCGCATATATATTCACGAAAGCCTGACGAAAAATAATCGCGAGCTACTTCAGTTCGCATTGCAGCTGAAGAGGTAGAAGCGTATATTTTCTGCTTTCTCTTTTCATGGTAATATTTATGTGCGACTTCAAAAACAAGGCGAATCAATGAAAGTGTCCAACAGAGATGAAATTGAAAGCGTTGCGGCAAAGGGTGCATGATACCGTGTGCATGTCAAACTTATTTACTCCTCATATATTCGTTTATTTTTACTTATCGTAGGTTAATAAATACTCCGCTTTGTATTTCTCACTGTCTCTCTCTAAATGTTTACTCTCTTCATTCTATTGCGAAATATCAAATCCACACTGGCTTATATCTAAAATGTATACATGTTCTTCTAGTTGTCTTCCTTCTTACTCAGCCTAATGATTGTAAACCCAGTTAACAAAAATGTCTTCGGTGTTGGTGAAAACCACAAGATGTTAGTAGATATACTGTGTAGGCAGACCTCAGGTGATAAACTGGACTACGTTAGGCATGTTTTTGAGGAATCCTTGGTTGATGTAATTTGTGTTACTGAAACCTGGTTCTGCCCCTCTGTCCTTGATCTATCCTACAGCATTCCAGGCTATAATCTTCTTCGTCACGATCGAAACTCTAAAAGGGGGGGTGGCATTGCAATATATAGCAAAGCATCTATAAAAGTACGTCTATTGGCTGAATCTTTCAACTCTTGTACTGAGTTCATTATAGCTGAAGTCTCTGATGGAGTAACAAGAATTTTAGTGGCGTGTGTGTATAATCCCCGAAAGTGTAGTTTATTAGACTCATTTTTTGTTGAACTGTCTGTGTATCTAATTGACTATGAAATTTATGTGATTTGTGGTGATTTCAAAGTGAACCTGCTCCAAAGCGACACCTATTCTGATCAACTACTTGATCATGTTACCGCCGCGGGTCTTTCCATAGTTAATAAATCTGTACCGACGAGATTTGCTAATAATTGTAACCCCAGCCTCTTGGATTATTTTATTAAATCTAGTCTCAACCATGTCCTCAAATTTGACCAATTATTCTTTATATCTGACCACGACCTGATTTTCTGTTCAATAAATGTTATGTTTAATCGTCCCTCTGTTAGTAACACATTTATGTATCGTGACTATAAGTCTGTAAATATGAATGAGCTATGTCAAAGCCTCTCAAGTGTGAATTGGAATGACTGTTGGTATTGTGATTCAGTGGATGAAAAACTTCTATTTTTTAATAACAACTTGACAAATATTTTCGAAAATCATATTCCTCTTCGTATGGCTCGAGCAACCAATCCATCTTGCCCTTGGTTCACCCAAAGAGTACATTCGGCAATAAGAACTCGTAACAGGCTATATGCAAAATGGAGAAGGCAAATGACTGACTTCACCTGGTCTCAGTATAAAGCTGCTCGAAATAAAGCTACTTCACTTATCAAGCAAGCAAAAAGAAAATACTGTTTCGCTAAATTGGATCCATCACTTCCTTCCAAATATTTATGGCGAAACTTAAAAAACTTGAAAGTGCATGGAAATTTGAAGTCTGAATGTGATTTAGATCCTTTTATACTAAATGACTTATTTACAGCTGCGAGTAGTATACTTAGGTGCACCTCACAATTCGAAAGCTCTCTGGGTTGATACCACCTTGGGAGTAAGTAGAGGTGATGTTGTTAGAGCTATATGGGGTATTAAATCTGAAGCTATTGGTGATGATGGAATTTCGCTGAAATTTGTGAAATTAGTTCTTCCATTCATATTGGGCGTCGTTACCCACATCATTAACCATTGCTTCACGACATCATGCTTTCCTGCGCATTGGAAAAAAGCCATCATACTACCAGTTGCAAAGAAGACTACGCCCATTAACCCTAGCGATTATAGGCCGATCAGCATATTACCAGCTTTAGCGAAAGTATGTGAGTCCTTGATGGCAGAGCTAATTTCATCATTCATCCAGAAAAATAAATTGCTATCCCCACTGCAGTCCGGGTTTAGACCGAAGCACAGCTGCTCTACTGCAATGATGAAAATACTTGACGACATTAGAATACAATTCGACAATAATGACTTATCTCTCCTATGCCTATTAGACTTCTCAAAGGCTTTTGACATGGTTAATCATGATTTGTTATGTAAAAAATTAAAACACTTCTTTGGATTCTCGGATTGTGCAATAAAACTTATGATGAGTTACCTTGAAGGTCGGGTTCAAAAAGTGAGGAGGAAAAATGGTTTCTCTAGTTTTAAAGCTACTTTGTCTGGTGTCCCGCAGGGGTCTGTCCTAGGTCCTCTTTTGTTCAGTTTATTCGTCAATGATGTGTTCTCAGTATATAAGTATGTTAATATTCATGCGTATGCCGATGATATTCAAGTGTATTTCTCTAGTCGTGTTGGTCTTGTTGAGGATTTGTGTTTTAGAATAAATAGTGATTTGTCTGCTATATCGCAGTGGGCAAGCGATAACTATCTATGCCTAAATGCGTCTAAGTCCTTTGTGTTGCCAATATGTAATCGCGTAGTGAATGTTGAAAATATACCAGATTTGTTTATTGGTAATAGTGTGCTAATGTTTGTTAATAAGATCAAAAATTTAGGCTTTGTTATCAACTCTAAGTTGACCTGTTCAGACCATGTTAATAGTGTTGTTAGCAGTGTGTATTCTGTTGTGCGAAGGTTGAGAATATCTGCTTCATTTACGCTATTGGAAACTAGGCGAAAGTTAGCGCAACAGCTCATCGTGCCCCTTATAACTTATTCAGAACTTGTCTACAGCAAATTTGGTTCGACTTCCTCCCACAAAATTAATGTTCTCTTTAATAATGTCACTCGTTATGTGTATAGTCTAAAAAAGT